GTTCTGCACATACACCCTAACTGTGGAAGTACTTTAAGATAATTATCTGTGCAGCCTGTATCTCAGTATGGTTTGAAAATTCCTTTACATGACGGAAGTCAACTGATGCAGAAGTGAAGCATCTCATCTAAGTGCCTCCTGACTTCTGCTACAATACAAAGGTAAGAAGAGGCTCTCTTAGAACCTGAGCGCACTAATTCCTCTGCTGCTCTCAGAAATCATAACACTTGTAGATGGGACTGACTTCAGCAAAGTCTGGCAGCAACAGTCATCTTCATAAAACAAGTGGAAGTGAGACAGGCTTACCTTCTGGTTAGGTGAAAGACCGAAGATACGGGTTCAGACTGAGCTACAACCTCAAAAGACTCACACCCCAATCCCTCACTCCCACAAGTGTGCCCTGTCCGGCACCCCTTTCAATATGGGATCAAAACTAAGGTTATCAGACCAGAAAGGTGGCGTGTGCTTGTGTGGAGGGCAGCAGCTTGCAGGTGCCACACAAGCAAGACACTACCTCACTCCGTAGCCAGCTTAGGTTGAGGGGATTTAGCTGGAGAAAGGAACTCTGTGAGGATTTTTTCTGACCACAAGCAAATATGCAAAACACCGGCAAATGCATTTTAAAGAGAATATTTTCTGTGGGGATAGGGACATATAATGCAGAACAGATTCCTCTCCTGAAAATAAATGAGCAAAGTTTCTTAACCAAATTTACTTAGGCTCCAAAGAGAAACAGAAATTGAAATACACCTTGTGCTTAAACCTTCCTACTGGTTAGCGCAAGGCACCTCAGCACACTCCCTCTTTGGGCTCATCAGCTAAAGGTATCTGTTTTGTGTCAACAGTAGCAGATGCTGGGAATCATCAACACATAGCATTTGAGCATGGCAATATGACATAGAGGTGTAAGTGTGAACTCTGAATTCTACCCACTGAGCTCAGGTCAGTCTAGTACACTCCTCTTTAACAGTTTGTTTAATAATTTCTTTATTTTTTTTAATTAAGTCTTTACCATTCAGTATTATTACTTTTTATTTGCACATCAAAATGTGTGTACGCAAATATATCAGAAAAAAACTTCTTCTGTAGGTATTATTGTTCGAAGTGCTGTACTACTTTCTTTCAGTCTTCTGCGTATCTTACTATCAAATACCAGCATAAATTGACTTAAATCAAAAAATAATCTAATATGTGTTTGTATAATGAACCTACAAGAAGAGTTCTTTTCATATTTCAGCCTGTTGTGTTGGGTTTGCCTGGCAAGGTTTTGGCAGTAGGGGGCTACAGGGGTGGCTTCTGTGAGAAGCTGCCAGAAGCTTCCTCCATGTCCGATAGAATCATTGCCAGCTCCAAGATCGACACACCACTAGCCAAAGTTGAGTCCATCAGCCATGGCAGTAGCACCTCTGTGTTAACATATCTAAGAAGGGGGAAAAAAAAACCTGATGCGCCAACAGCAGCCAAGAGAAAGGAGTAAGAATATGTGAGAGCAACAACTCTGCAGACACCAATGTCAGTGAAGAAGAATGGGGAGGAGGTGCTCCAGGTGCCAGAGCAGAGATTCCCTCGCAGCTCATGGTGAAGGCCATAGTGAGGCAGGCTGTCCCCCTGCAGCCCATGGAGGTCCATGGTGGAGCTGATACACACTTGCAGCCTGTGGAGAGCCCCAAGCCAGAGCAGGCGGCCAGGAAGGCTGTGACCCCAGGGGGAGCCTGCACTGGAGCAGGCTCCTGGCAGGACCTATGACCCTGTGGAGAGAGAAGCCCATGCCGGAGCACTTTGCTGGCAGGACCTAGGACCCTGTGGGGGACCCACACTGGAGCAGCCTGTTCCTGAAGGGCTGCACCATGTGGAAAGGACCCACCCTGGAGCAGTTTGTGAAGAACTGCAGCCCCTGAGAAAGACCCACATTGAAGAAGTTCATGGAGGACTGTCTCCCATGGCTGGGACCCCACAGTGGAGCAGGAGAAGACAGTGAGGAGTGATAGAGTGGCTTGGCGGACAACTGGCGTTCAGCTAAGGTCAACCCACCACAGCTGTACAAAAGTCATTGCAATTCCAGCAACCTCATTAAGAAGATGTGACTACCAGCCACTACACGTATGATTCACTGACATCCAAGGTAGACATGTTTTTGGGAGGCTATACTCTTTGTTCCAGTACTCACTTTAGGCTTGATTCAAACTAAAATAGGGATGATAAATATCGTCTTTTGTTAATTCAAGAAAGTATATCTGCTAAATATTTCTTCAGTTAAAATAATGTAATTTAGGTAAGATTTATGAAGTCTCTACACCAAACTGAATGAAAGGCACAGTAAATGACACCCCCACATATCAGCAGGTGAGTGGAAAACAAATCACTTCACTAAGTTCCCTACTGTATTCCAGAGTCCTTCAGTGAAACCCACTCCTTAGCACAAGGCAAAGCTGGGGTCTCATCAACACTTGTTCGCAGGCAACTGCCATAGAGTCAAGCCTCCCGACAGTATTACCTTCTGACAACCACAGCTCTCTCTCCTGCAGGAGACCCACTGGTACCGCAAGTCACATGCTGGAGAGAAGTCCACAATGCCTTTTTTTTTTTTAAAAAATAAATCAAACTCTACTCAGACAATCAGCTCTACTAGAAATTTGGTGATTTTCAGTTCACTGTCTTGTCACGTTCAACAACGACAGTCCAATATCAAAGCAATTATAGACTCAAACATCATAAAATTTCACACAATTTAATTACTATATAGCAATGAGTAAAGGCATCTACTGTCACAACATTTTGTATCTTGCCATTTAGATAAAAATGTATCAAATGCAAGTGTTGGATCCAATTAAATTTTTTTTTTAAATTGCATTTTGAAGTCTTAAATCACACTTTTACAGATACTGCTATTCACTCATTTAGCAAAAATAAATTGGACAGCTCAAAAATTCAAAATAAAGCCCATACCTGGGTTATATTCCCTCAGCATTATACATCAACATCTATATACCATTAACGATCTTTTTTCTACTTGCCTCAGAAATTGAACTATTTGTACAAAGATGCATCACATTTCACATTCTCAAACAACTAACATCCTTTTATTCCGGAAAAGCAGGGGAAGCTGGAAAGACACCATGTATTTCTTTTATGTACACAAACAAACACAACCAATTTCACCAAATCCTTTATCCTGATACATATAGTCCTATTAAAGCAATGGCTCTGAACTACGCTGTGTGCAAGAAGGAGGAGCAAAGGGAAGCAGAAATAAAAGGAATATATTAAATGCCTTTTTTTCCCCAAAAGGAAGAAAACAAATACTTTGGCAAAAGCTGCATTGAAGGTTTAAATTATATGAATGCGTAGGGGAAAAAAAAAAAAAACAACCATAACTGCTCGCTGTCTCTCTATTAGAAGTCTTCAGTTTCTGGTGTTGAAAATGATAATGAAGAATCATTTAAAAATATTTTCCCAAGAAAAAGTAAATATTTTCAGAAGTCAACAGGTTTTTTCAAACTGCTATGATATGTTTACTATCTATTTGGTGATGTAATTTAAGAGAAAAAAGCTTATTCATATCAAAAACATGTAATACAAAATTTTCTTTGCAATAGTCTCTGACGGCAATGGAACACCAATATAAAATTTTGATGTGTTCTTTTTAGGTTTCATGTAATTGCATCTCGTTTCACTTTATTTAATATTTGTATGTAACACACAGAAACAACAGAACTACTAAAAAGCACGGATATTTGCATTTCATTTCTCAGATTCACACCAGATTTTTAAGGCTGCCTTTTAAGAAGGAGGTCCCAACTGATTAAATATTGGACAGGTATCAATGTCTTATATTCCACTATGAAATGAGAAATGAAATAGCTCCTTGATTGGCAATATCGTTAAGGATTTAAAGCAGTGTACAGAGAAAATTTCCTTCATCTCTACAGCTTATGCTTTGAGACAAAAAGGTGGCATAGGGAGGAAACATACTTCATTAATAAACAGACTACTTTCAACTATACAGCAATTGTTGTAGAAAACTCTGAGACTCAAATACATCTGTTCCAAAAGCACCACATAAATTTTTCTACCTGATATTTTTTTTTCCCTTCAATAACATTGCATTATATAAAGTATCATTCATAGCCTAACTTCATATCATGAAAATAGTATGAATCTCAATCACATTCCAGTGGAATGTACTATTAAAGTTAACTCTAATAAGCATTTTATGATTATTCTGTTAGTTGTCTGCACTGAAATACAATTAAGCATTTGCTGCGATGTCATAGGTACAAAAAAACCTAACAATCACGAGTCTTCATTTTACCTTATAGGCAAGTATTTCCTTTAGCAATAAATCAACAATATTCATAAATCATATGAGATTTTCTTTGTATTTAAAAATATAAATTTAGATTACTTATCATACAGGAAAACTTCCCAAATGTTCTTGACCTTTTCCAGTTTAGTTCTTATAGGCTTCATAAACTGTCTCCAAAATCTAGCTTCTCATGTTCAGTATCTGACTTCTAAGCACGTAATTTTGAGCCATCTAAGTTGCTCAGGCAACTTGAAGCAAGTTTTGCATGAGCAATAACTGCAGAACTGGATCTTCAGCTCAGAGAGATTTTTGTTTCCTTCTCTTTCACAGGATAACTCCTCCTTGGCATTGTTTATAGTATTAGAAACATCTCCATACTGAACATCTAGATGTGTTTCTCCTGGAATCTCCATGCTTCCTCCATGACTGAGCAAGCTTTAACTACAAACCCCACTCCAGGGGCCTACAAATTGTTATGGTGAATTTAAGGTGGCAAAGTCATAAAGTTACAGACCCCAACTCATTTCTTTCCCCCTCCAAAGAACACATTTATTGTAATAAAAAACATAAACCATAATTTAACCTCTTACTTGACAGTGAACAGTATCAATAATATAATAATATTATATTCTACATTCAAACTATTCTTAATTTTTAATTAGCTATAAAATCATATATTGTAAAAATTACTTACATTCTGCATATTTCTGAAGCTGAGAGAACTCTCCAGGACTAAGGTTAACCCACTTCTCCTGGCTCGTCATACTGGCCGTAAGGGTCCTCGTTAAATATCAGAAAAACGTTCCCTTTGACTCAAGTAATACAAACTCCATAAAGATCTGTAGCTTCAATTCACAGTGCTTGGAGACTGGAAAGATGGAATCAGTCTATGTGGATGACGTTTTTGATGCTATGAACTGCTCCCAATGTATGCTTCAGTGGTGAGTTACAGCACTGTTAAAAGAAGATCAAGCATTAGAAACATAAATACCAGTATTTTTATTTAAATAATTGTAACTGATAAATATATTGTTGCATACAGTTTTGCTCAAAAATCTTTCCATACAATATTTATCCATAGTTTTATATGTATCTCCAAATTTTATTTTTATAATTTCAAATGCTTATGTGCAGCATTGCTAATCAAAAATTATCAATGGCTTATGATTGAACTGTATCTGGACACCTTGTGTAGGAACGTTTCTTTCAGTAACAACCACTGCAACAGCAGATACTACCTATGAGCAAACTTCGTTCCCTATGATTTTAAAATGGGATTCAGGTAACTGGGTTTGTATCCAGCTACATTGTTGTACAGTCCTGTGTGGCCTTGTCAGAAATGTTCTGAAGCTTCTAACTCCCCACGTCAGAAATGCAATGCATTCTGCAGTTTGGTTACAAATTCACGAGAGCTATAGAAATATTAATTATTCTAACAAAATAGTAGGGGTTTGATTTCTAGAATGTCACAACACTGCTGAAGTCACTATTGAAAATCAAATATGACTGCTGGCACTGTTACAAATCAGTTCAAGGAAAAAAAGATGAAACTGTGGGTGCCATCTCATTCCCATTTCACGCTGTTTCTGCCTCTGTAGGACAGACCTTACCAAGGCAATTCATTCCTAACACCACTCCTTGCACAACAGGTAGGATACTTTTCATCTAATTTTAGCCATCTGAAAGTCAGGTACCTCATCCGAGACTGTCATCTAGGGCGCTTTCTTTAATCAGCAGAAAGAGACAGGTGGCCCAGACAGCAATTAATCCCCCCAGTTTCAACATAATCTTAAAATGTGATGAATTGCCTTTTTGTGGTATTTATCTTTCGCTATTGATTACAGAGGTTGCCTAGATGACAAGTTCAGACTAGAAAGCTAATTTTAGACTGTAAGTGGAATCTCTTTATACGCCTAGCAATGTGTCATTTACACGGATCAAATTACGAAAAGAGCAAATGTTGGAGTTTAATCTCGCAGCCAGCAAACTAGGACACCAAATGAAAAATTGAGACCAGAAGAGACTGACAAGAGTAATGGAAAGAGCGCAGACGAGGAAGATGCTGGCAGGTGGGAGAGATGTCATAGAATCATAGGTTGGAAAAGACCTCTAAGATCATGAAGTCCAACCATTCGTTCAACAACACTATGCTACTAAACCATATCCCGAAGTGCCACATCCACACGTTTTTTAAACACCTCCAGGGATGGGAACTCAACCACCTCCCTGGGCAGCCTAGTCCAATGCCTGAACACTCTTCTAGTAAAGAAATTTTTCCTAATATCTAATCTAAACCTCCCCTGATGCAACTTGAGGCCATTGCCTCTTGTCCTATCGCTAGTTACTTGGGAGAAGAGACCAACACCTGCCTCACTACACCCTCCTTTCAGGTAGTTGTAGAGAGCTATAAGGTCCTCCTTCAGCCTCCTCTTCTCCAGACTAAACAGCCCCAGTTCCTTGAGTCGCTCCTCATAAGACTTGTTCTCTAGACCCCTCCCCAGCCTCGTTGCCCTTCTCTGGACACGCTCCAGCACCTCAATGTCTTTCTTGTAGTGAGGGGCCCAAAACTGAACACACCACTCGAGATGCAGCCTCACCAGTGAGGCGTACAGGGGCACGATCACCTCTCTACTCCTGCTGGCCACCCTATTCCTGATACAAGCCAGGATGCCATTGGCCTTCTTGGCCACCTTGGCACACTGCTGGCTCATGTTCAGCCAGCTGTCGACCAGCATCCCAAGATCCTTTTCCACTGGGCAGCTTTCCAGCCACTCTTCCTCAAGCCTGTAGCGTTGCATGGGGTTGTTGTGACCCAAGTGCAGGACCTGACATTTGGCCGTGTTGAAATCCATACAGTTGGCCTTGCAGGGGGGGGGAAACAAGAAAAAAAACACCAGAGTAGCTAGGAACAGAAGCGTATGAAAAAAAGATACATTAACCCAATGATAGAAAACATTTCAGTACATGTACCTATATTATGAACAAGTAAGGCTATCTACACTAACAGACTACTTGGCAGCTGCCTTGTGTTATAAAAATTTGAATCAGAAGATATTCCTGTGCTCTCCATCTCCTCAAGTTAGAATAAAGCATAATAAGCTGGAAGAGGTAAGACCTAGAAATATTAACTGAAAAAATAACAAAAACTAATAGGAGCATGTAGATTGGCATGGGAAAAGTAACATTAATGTGGATTATGCTGGCCAAGACCAAGGCACATCAGCCCTCAAACATCAGTGAACCGACAGTGCCATAAAAAGAGCAGTAACCACAAAAGTTAAAGGTTAAAACCACTAAAACTAATATTCAGTAAGAAAAGCTATCATTCTGTCTCGAAAACCTCAGTCTTCTTAAGAGAAAATAACTATGGTCAATGCAGACATTTTAATCAAATTAGAGATGTTTCATTTCTGGCAGTTGATTAGATTGTATTAAAGATGGTTTTATTTCTTCAAATAGATCTATTTTTCCCATATTCTTGACAACTGATTCCATTTTACTGAAAATGTTTTTATATTTGCATAATTGATTTAATAGAACCAAAATTTTCTACCCCAATTTCATCCAGTATTACTTTTTGTATTCTTAACTACATTAGCTTCATATACCTGCAAAAGCTAATACTGCTGAATGCTCTACAGTTAGAGATTATCTCAATTATTCAATATGAATATTTGTGATAAGAAGGCTACAATTAAAATTGCTATCGCTAGCAAGGTACTGACTGCTGTGCACTCTTAACTGATCAATCTATTCACATGCAGTATCTTCAGCTGACCACTGTCTATAGGGTCTGTTGTATACACAGTACATCGGCAGTGAAAACTGACGTTTTACCATTGACTTGCCCTTCTCTAACTTCAGATTTAAATTACCCCCTCTGATATTCTTTCTGCTTTACCAGACACCCAGGCTCTACTGCCTACAGTGCTGCAAGAAAAAGTATATGACCTAAATGAGATGAGAGCAATGGGAAAATTGAGTATGGGCATGGCAGTCCACAGTAAAGACGATGTAGTCTGTGTGTAAGCCAGCACAGTTATCATGCAAGAGACAGAGTTTAAAGCTACGTGATTATCTTGCAAAACTCTCCAAATGCAAGTTCCTCCCTTTGAAAGGGAAGACTGAGGGGATCTAGAGGAAGCATTCTGCCAAGTTTAATCCAGGAACAGCAATGGGGAGGTAGGCAGTCCTCCGACGATGGCTAGCTGGTCTTTGGACTGCAGCCTGTCCCGTACACCACCTCAGTGCACATGATGCAGGAATGTAACAGGGAAAATCTCAGCAAAAGGAACATTACAGAGGCTTCCTTTTTTAGACTCCTATTAAGTTCTGTTGCAGGGGAGGCCTGAATAAGGAAAGGTCCCTGCTCCCTGCATCCTTTAGTTTTCATAGTTAAACTTTTATAGTGGCATTTTCCCATTTTATATAGATAATAATGTAGCTATAAAAAAATCAAGCACATTACACAGATGCTGAGGACAAAAGCCATCAATGCATATTTGTGTTATATGATGTGTGTCACCTTAATTTCTGTAGAAGAAAATATTCATTTATTTCATCTTCTTTAATAGTGTTTAATTTAAATGCCCTCCTCTAAACCTTATTTCAGAGCTCTTTTTCTCAGTACTCCAGGGAGGTAATGCAGTGAGCAACCTATATATACATGTACATGAAAAAGAAAGAAGTAACAGGGATAATACTATCATGCAAATAAATGAAAAGAAAAACAAACCAAAAACTTGAACTAGAACATTAATCAAATGTGCTTGCTGGCAGGCAAAATGAAGATCAGTAGCACTAAACAGACACAAACAGTGATTTGACATCTCCATGCAGAGATAAATTACTTTGAAGAACACTCTGTAGCATACAGTTAAAATACATAGGATGTCAGGCAGGGAGCTCTTCCACTGATCCTCTAAGAGTTTGACCTAGTCCAGGAAACGCGGATCCGTGCACACATTTTGTTAGTATCTGCTTAGGCAAGATTCACAGCCCTCTCAACCAGACAGAAAGCAGGCCTTACAAATAAGAGAAATTAGAAACACTACATTAAGAATCCATTCATTTTATCATAAAAAGAATTAGAAAAAAAATTCTTCCTCCTCCACCCACCGACAATAGGGTCTTAGAATTCCATTCTCTCTATTATAATGTGTTTTTCTTTCTAAATTTGAGGGTTTATTAAGTTTTCTGTCAGAATTGCTACCAGGCCACATACCCAAACTAGGAAGCAAAGCTTTGTTAAAAGCTCTGCAAATCACATTACTTAGAATTCAGCCAACAATTCTAACAAACTTAGATTTCCTGGGATTCTTCAAGCCACTGAAATCCTCAGCTGCTCTGCAGAAACCAGGCTGAGGAGCAGAGAAGAGAAAGGAATATACAGTGGACAAAAAAACAAATATAAAGGCACATCCCCTATACACCAACTTCAACATTCAAATCATCTCATAAAGTCCTCACTGCAAGGAAAGACACGTTTTTGGAGAGTGCAGAGGAAAAAAAAAATTTCAGTCCTACAAAACCAATCAAAAAAATACTGGGTTCAGCTTTGAACTTTGGTTCCAGAGGAGGACTGTGGCCTGTGCAAACAACTCCAGCTCCTCAACCACCTCAACCCAAGTCCTCTGTTGCCTCCTGCAAGGCAGGAGGACTTCTTCTGGGGTCTGTCCTCACTGCCGCAACTGAAAGCACGACACTCCTTAATGTATGCCTGAAGGGACTTCTCACTGTTCACCGTAACAGGGAAACCTAAAAC